ATTGGCGTTTCAAGCTGCCCTTCTTCTAATTGCGTGTCTTGCCTTACCCGCAAGTTGTTTTTTGTAAGCATGTTTATTTGCTGCTTGGGTCTTATTAATTTAAAGTCGGGTGTCGCCACGTGGTTCCGTTTGATCATGGAATCATCAAACACAGCCATGTGTACACGCAGCAGCGAGCAAATCCGACGGCAAGGATTGTGTCGCGCTGCAAAGAATTACACAGAACGTTCGTTCCGTAAGAAATCCGTTAAAGAAATAATCGATTCGTTCAGGTGGACAACATGCCCCATGATAATTGATTCCTAGTGGAAAAAGGACTCGTACAGTACACACATGGGACTGGACGGACTGGCTGCAGGGTGTATATGACGCGTATGCTCCAACAACCGTATACCATGACATGCACTGATCACTGACGGCCGGTACACGCACGTTACGATATGTACGCACGTGCCACCTTTTATTCCATCGCGTGGATCGTACATACCGTGCCTGAATAGGGTAGCTGGATGTGCCCTAATCAACGTACGTACAAGGACAGTTGCCATTCCATATTTCTCTCTCCTGGAGAGAATCTGGTGGTGCGTCGCGAGCTAGCATGTACGCATTCAAACAAATACATATTGATCAGGCATCGTATCGATCGTTTCTGCCGTCGTCACATCGTTATCTGCTTCATTGCAGTGAGCAAAAGGTTAGGGTCGATTAGGTGCTGAGCTGAAACGATGAAACCATTGCTGACGTCGCAGTTCCTTAGCACGGGCATGCACGTACGCCACCACCTTTAATTATCGGAGAAGAAAGGAACAACAGTATGTACTGTAAAGTGGGACACTTGATAGATTTTGCTTTTTGAAAACGGGACACATGATAGATATTATCATGTTAAGAACAAACTAATCTTACGTTTTGTTTTTAAGAGATATTAAACATAATAAAAATAGTATATGAAGATACACGTACGTTCCTTGCTTTAAGTTAATCACACCGTCCATAATTAAATCCCCAGCTATGCATGCCTCCGTTGGTTGCTTGATTAAGCAGCAAGCACCATGCTAATTAATCGACGCCCTGTTAATCCTTTGTACGATCATATAAACTTACTTGCAAGCAAAACTAACAAGCCAGACACGTACTTACACAAAAAACGAGAGAAGATATCTTGGAGAGAGAGAGAGAGATGATGATGGTGATGATGTAACGATGATGCTGGACTATATGTGGAGTGTGATGATGGACTAATAATTAGCCCTGGGCCCTGGCTGATGCTAAATGTGGCCATGTCGACAGTGCCACATATGTTGCTGCGCACATCACCTACTCCCCCTCTTCTCCCTACCTCCCTCCAGCGACCTAGGTACATCGATCGAGTTCATGCTGCGCAAGCATCGTCGTGCCGATTGATCGCGACACCGGCGCACGAGCATGTCCTCTCCCCACCTCCTCCGTCTCCGTTTAATTTCCCCAGCCCCTGCGCCTGGAAGTTAATAGAGTACAAAGTACTTGCTCCATTGCTGGCTGTGATCCGTCCGGCCGCATCAGCTTCTCGCGCCGGCCGACGCGCACACGGCAGACGCAGGGAGGTTGATGGAGACCACCGGGCCGGTCGAGCTAGAGGGTAGACAGGCCTTTGTAGGAGTAGTACAAGTATAACCCCGGCCTTGTTGCTTGCTCCCCTACGCTTCTTCCTCCTGGCTACATACAATTATTCCTTCCGGTCCGGGCTCCGGCATCGCCAAGCTATATATTTCCTTCCTGCCAACCTCCCTATCCAAACCTCATTCATACAAACTCAAGCTATAGCAACATAGATATATGCCCTGCTTAATCTCTGCTACCTAGATACTTTCTCTCCTTCTCCACTATCTTGCTAGCTCAATTGGTGCCGTTCTGGAAGCGCCATCCATAGATCTCTCATCCATATCTATACATACACACCGCGATTCAAAATACAGATTGTAGAGAGAGTTGAGCAGGAAGAAGAGGGTTCAGAGAGAAGATAGTGCATAGATATAGAGATAAATATTTCCATGGGGCTGCGGGACATCGAGATGATGCTGCCGCCGGGGTTCCGCTTCTACCCGAGCGACGAGGAGCTGGTGTGCCACTACCTGCACGGCAAGGTGGCCAACCAGTGCTTCACCGGAGGAGCCACCGGGACCATGGTCGAGGTCGATCTGCACGTCCACGAGCCATGGGAGCTGCCAGGTCAGTTTCTTACTGCTATTATTTTTAGATCAAAAGGCTCCTCTCCTCTGTTCCATTCACCTTTTCTTACTACTCAATTACCACAGTTAGTTATCCCCTAGATTTTTTTTACCAGTTAGTTAGTTTACTACGGAGTACTCGACCCATCTCCAGTCCCTCTCCACTAATCTTTACTACTAGCTACTCGATCGATCTCGATCCAGTACGTTGTTAGTCCCTCTCTCAAGCTACATATCTCTCTTAATTAATTTAACTTCATTCCATGGAATGATTAACTAAGCACGCAACCGTGTTTTGTTGGCTCTAATTCGGACTTGTCGTTGTTATTATTGATTAGTGCACCAAATTAGTGCTCACTCCGTCTGGGTTTATTAGGCTCTCTTATATTTTGAATAAAATTTTGGCCATCTATTTGATTAACAAAATACAAGTATATGCTACGAAAATTTTTATTGTTAGATTTGTATTGGAACGAGGTTTTCAATAATGTTAGTTTTTTGTGACACGTGGTTTATATTTTACTTATTAAATCAATTGTTAAACTTTAATCCAAAATAAGAGGAGGTACAATAAAATCCGACGGAGTTACTAGTACTACTACTCTGCACTATATACATGCATATACGCAATTCCTGCAAGTGTTGTGTTGTTTCTAGCACAAGTTTCCTCTTAGAATTTTGAGTGGGTTACCACCGCAAGCTTGAACTTCCTATAATTAATCTGTCAAGTGGGCAGCATTATTTACATATTTTGTTTGGATTAGTTAAGGAACTGGCTTGCATGTGGCATTTCGTATCAGCATTATTCCACCCCCTCCCTCCTTGGAGTATTTGCCTACTTCAACAAAGAAACTTAAAATTCCTCCTGTTTTTTAAACTTCGTTTCAATAAATTTTTTTTACTAAATGAAGGAAGGACAGATGCATATATATACTTTCTTTTGCCTCTCAGCCTCTCTTTCTATGCGCAATTGTACAACCTGATATGATCTCTATCACGTTTGCGTATACACTTGGTCATCCACCGAGGCCATTCTGTTGCTAATTTTGCGTATGGCTCCATCCATGGTGGTGGTATGCAGACGTGGCGAAGCTGAGCACGAACGAGTGGTATTTCTTCAGCTTCCGTGACCGCAAGTACGCGACGGGGCTGCGCACGAACCGCGCCACCAGGTCCGGCTACTGGAAGGCTACTGGAAAGGACCGCGTCATCCACAGCCCGAGGTCGTCCTCATCCGTCTCTGGTCACGCCGCCATTGTCGGCATGCGCAAGACCCTCGTCTTTCACCGCGGTCGCGCCCCCAACGGCACCAAGACCTGCTGGGTCATGCACGAGTTATCGAGAACCCTCACTCCCCACCCAAGGTGGGTTCAATTGCCAAGCTCTTGCAATATACTCCCTCAGTCTCAAAATAAGTGACTCAACTTTGTACTACTTTAGTACAAGGTTAGTATAAAGTTGAGTCACTTATTTTGGGATGTAGGAAGTACATCTGATGGTATCTGAGTATTAAATTGATATGCGGTGCTAATATGCATGTTTGCATTTGAATTTTGTTTGTTCAGGAGGACTGGGTGCTGTGCAGAGTTTTCCACAAGAAGAAAGCCGACATTGAGTACGCCATGGACGGCGAGCAGGAGCTCGGCGGCGGTGGCATGGCTCACGGGTCTGCTGCCGTGAGCGTATCCAACTACGAAAGTCCCTCATTCTGCGGCGATCCAGCGCCGTTCCCTTCCCCTGGCGCCGGCAGCCACCATTACCAGATCATGTCCTGTGATCATGAGCTCCCCGACGACGCAGCAGACGTCTCGCTCAGCAATGTGGACGCTTTCGCCCGCATGCCGCAGCTGCTGGGCTACGAAAGTATCATTGACTTGAGCCAGCAACTCCAGGGCGGCGGCAGTGCAGCGGCAGGTTTGAGAGACGGCGCCGATGATCAGTGTGATGGGGCGCTGATGGACCTAGGGCTGGAGGAGCACTACAACTACAACAGCTTGATGTAGATGTGTATATATGATGTAAGATCGGTGGGTGCTGCATGCCGTTATACGTTAGTTGACACGAACCGGTACGTTGACTCGGGTGCAACAGATCATAGGACCGGGAAGCTAGACAAGCTGACCACTCACCGGTACACCAGCTATGATAAGACGCTTACCCAACGGGACAGGAATGGACATTCGTTACGTGTACGAAGCGCCACTGTTGATGCCCATCTAATAAACTTCACCATCTTTCTCGCAAAAATAATTATCCCTCTGTCCCACAATATAAGAGGGAGTAATAAAAGGCATCTAAAAAAATGATCAGTATATTTCAGGTGCCAACAACTTATTTCCTCTTAAAAGCTTAATTACTATACCCACGTTCCAAAATAATTGATGTTTTGGGCTTGTCCAAAGTAGAACTTGTTTAAGTTTGACCATGTCTTTAGAAAAATATGTTAACATCTGAAACACTAAATTAGTCTCATGAGCTTCTTTATGAAATATTTTTCCATACTACATGTATTTGATTTTGTAGATGTTGGCACATTTTCTATAGAACTGGTCAAAGATAAACATGTTTGATTTTGCAGAAGCCCAGAACTTCAATTATTGGGGAACAGAGGGACTAATCAGGATTCTCAAATTGTATTCTACTAACGATCAAGTAACATAGAAAATTCTTCTTCAAGATTCGAGAGAGGCATCTATCCCATCTAGCCCCGATAGATTTCTTCAGCCAAGATGACATACGATGTCTGCAAGGCTTCTCAGCAATCTCAATGAAGTGGCATCATCACATAGGCCATGCATCCATTGATATTTTTTTCCAGCAAGAAGGTGAATGCCCCACCATAAACTGAGGTCCTTGAAGTTTACAACTAGCATGCCGCAATGAAGTCTCGAAAGGAAACTAAGAAAAGGTTCGATGCATGGTCGGAAGAGACCAAAACAAGCAATGGAAGAGACCAAAATTAGCGAATCAAAGACAAAACGATGCCCACGAGCCGCCCAGTAGCACACCCTTGCACCGGACAGGAAGCTCCCCTAGCTTTTGTTGTCCTGTTGCGATGTGGCATGAAGCTCCCAAAACCTTCTTCAGAATTTGTCGCTGAAGAGGTCAATGTGTAGTCGGTCCTGCGGTCTCCCCTTAGGCTTCGAGAACTTCAATAAAGCTACCTTTTACCAATGAGATCCATCGGGTGTTTAAACATACACCCCTCCAGAAGAGCTGCATTACACGATGTCCATCACGACCAGGCAAGTGTCGCAAAGCCAACGCAAGCAAGCCTCCTATCCTTGCCACTCGTTCCTGAAGAAGTTGATGAAATCTGCAAACCAGGCCGGGATCCATGCGCACCCCATTGCCTCATAGATATCACTCTTCAAAAATCTTGCTATGATACACCAGCAGAGGATGTGGTCGCGGTTCGAGCATCTCTCCATATCAGACACTTGGTACCCACCAGGAATTTTCTTCATGTTCATTTGCCACAAAAGACTATGATTTTAGCCAGAACTACCTTCCAAATTCCCATTATTTCCACTCGAGGGGCCGCTTTGAAGATTTCTTTGTATAAGGATCCTGTGAATAAAACCCTGCAAGGCTCGAGTTTCCATGATACCGTATCCCTACCAGAGGACAACCCTATCTCAGCGAAGTTATTCCTAGCTACTTCAAATCGACAACCACATTTGGTCCAAAGGAGCGTGGTGCCCATCGATTCCCAACCCACATATCTTCCACTCTGGCAGCTAGATGGCTGGCTATCGCAAATAATCGAGGATGGAGCACACATAGGGTCTCTTCCAGACATCCTACCAAAACTAGGCTAATTGCCCATTATGCACCTCAATTTCTGTGCCAAGCCTGAGAAGGTGTTGCACCTGAGAAGGTGTTGCACCTTCTCTATAGCCTTCGCAAACAACGATTTATTTATTCTAGAGTTCATCTCCACCCTTTCTCTAGGTAAATATTTGTTCTCGATTTTTTAGCCATAACCCATGGCCAAGTAGGATTTGCTATGCCCACTTGGCGATCAAGTACCTGTTCAGGATCTTGGTATTGATAATTCCGAGACCACCGACCTTTTTGATGAGCAGATAGCAGGCTAGTGGACCATATGTTTTTTTTACCCCTTTCCTTCTCCCAAAATAAGCAAGACCGCACCTTATCCAGTATTTCATGCGCTCCATCTTGGAGAAGATAGAATCCCATCACGTACATACAAACATTGGTGAGCCAATCATTAATGAGAACCATCCTCGCTCCTGAGTGCAATATCTTTTCTTGCCATTGTTCAACCCTACCAGCCATTATAAATGACCAGCTCGAGATTCACAATTCGCAATGCCCGATTAAAGATAGGCATTCCCAAATACGCATCCATCGATAAGTTGTAGTTGTTTTTGAAATAATGGGCTTCCTTGCTTGAATGAGTCGAATAATATGATATTTTGTGGTGCTTTTCAATGACTTGAGAGTCACCAACTTATGTATAAGTTTTCTAGTGTATCTATGACACCTCTAGAACTCGTTTTATCCTACGTTTGGAGACTGGCGCCATGGAGTACGCCGACATTCTTACTACGTAGGCTTCTTAGAAGGTATTGCGTTGGAACTACCAGGATTTCATTACATCATATGATGTGCCATATTACCGGTTACTTAAGCCTTTAAGAAGTCTGGGAGTACATCTAACTGTTGTAGTTGGCTTGTTTCCGTGTGGGGTCGTTGGGTTTGTATAATCTCTACCTAACAATAAAGTGTCTATCGCTTTCGGTCGTACGTCGTTGTTAATTTTGCAAAAAAGTCACTCTGTTTCTAAGAATTCAACCATGAGTCCTATTTTAAGTGGAAAAATGGTTCGTTTTTGTTTTCAGAAAACCCTCTGGTTTTCGAGTTAATCAACCCGAGATCCTAAATTTAAGTGAACAAATGATTTTTTTTCGAAACACCTGTTCTTTTAGTTAATCAACCCGCCATCCATCTATTATTATTTTTTGGACAGGTTCAAATGTTTTTTTTTCTAATATCCATATATTTTAAACCGTAACTCTAATTTTGACATGTCATATATGAAAATTGATTAGAAAATTATCTATAATCTAAACATGATGTTATTTTACATCTTAAATATTTCAAAAAAAATATGATTCAAATGCTTCTTTAAAATATTTATATCTTCTAAACCCTAAGTCCAATTTTGACATTTTATATATGCAAATTGATTAGAAAAATGTGTAGAATCTTAATATGGTGTTATTTTACCGGTTAAACATTTTTTTAATGCTATTTAGGGGACAATATTAATAAATAGCGCATGATCCATCTTTCTTTTGTACCGTGTAGATCGGAGGAGAAATCAACACCTCAGCAAAATTAGTTTGGAGAAGAAAGAAACCATCTATAACCACGCATGCATGACTCGGTAAAACCTCCAGGTGAGAAAAAAGTAGATTTCTCATCTTATGCGGAGAGAAAGGGAGACACCTTAGAATTGACCACATTCAAGCGAGTTGTGATTGTGAGCACTGAGGCCGCAGTCGACAAGGGTGGGAAGGAGGGTAAGCGGTAACATAGATGGGATGCACGTGGACCCATTGAGGTCTTCAGTCATGATTATTCTGTTAGGGAAGTGTGATATAATTTTTCCTGTTGCAAGCACGGGCTTGTTTGCTAGTTGGACACAAAACTCTCGACCAGCGACGACACATTCTTACATGCGGGCTCTTGACGGCCTTTATAGTCCTCGACACACCATGGGACTCCAAACCAAGGGAGAGATAAATAGGTAGATATAGATAAATATATTAATTCAGAAAGCAGTGACCCCTGTTGTCCTCTGCTCTCAGGGCATCTCCAGCCGTTGGCCTCCCCAGGAGGCATTTTTCTCGCCTCCTGGGGGGCTGCCGGCGAGAATTTTACCCCGGGGCTCAGATCTCTCCCAGTCGTCTCCACCCCCAAGCATCTCTGCACCTCGACGAGGAGGACGCGTGGCGCGCAGCGAGGAAGCGGCCGGGCCAGTGACGATGTCGAGGAGGCCCCGGAGCAGAGGAGGCCCCGAAGCGGCCGGGCCGGTGACCAATAAACTTCTCCGTGGACTCCTTCACGAGGGCGCCCA